AGAAAGAAAGAAAGAAAGAAAGAAAGAAAGAAAGAAAGAAAGAAAGAGATTACTGCTAACTTTGGAGAAAGCTGTTTCAGTTGAGTGATGATTACAAAAGGTTGAAAAGAAAGTAAGATGACCTGTGTGAATAGCTTTTTATAGGAGGTTGGATTCTGCTTGAAAAATCATCTGTGAGAAAGGTCCATAAATACTATAATATATAGAAGAGCAAATTATAAGAAGACAATACAGTTACCTATGAATATATAGCTGAATAAATTGTGGTGCATAAATGTAAAAGAATATTCCTTTGTGCTAAAAAAGGATGAATAAGAATTTGGAGATCTAAAGTGAATTAAGCACAATCAGGAAAATAACATACGAAATTATTACAATAGTCTAAAAAGGACAACCCTCCCTCCCTCTCACCCCCAATTGAATGCTATAATTACAACAAAAAAGATACTCCTGGAAAAGAGCAGAGAATAGAACACTGTTAGGATTTGCCTGATATGTTGGTTGGTTTTTACTGAAGTATTTTCTATTTCTTTTTAAAAGAATATTCCTTGTTACAAATAAAGGTAGGTTGAGTAGGGGGTTACTGCTGTAAAAAACAAAAGACATCCAAATTTCTAAAAGAAAATGTGAGGGGCAGCTAGGTGTGGCAGTGGATAGAGTACTGGCCCTGGAATCAGGAGGCCCTGACTTCAAATCCGGCCTCAGACACATAACACTAGCTGTGTGACCCTGGGCAAGTCACTCTACCCCACTGCCTAGCCAAAAAAAAAAAAAAAAAAAGAAAAAAAAGAAAAAAGAAAATGTGAGTAAGCAGAGTTAGAAAAGACTACTGAAGTAACTAGTGATGTGATACTTGTGAAATTGGTACTATAGATTGGTCTCATGGAAAACTGAGTTTTTTTTAGTTATCTGTAGTCATACAAACATAGGCTACAGTTGTGAAGAATTCCCTCAACCTAGCTGGCAGTGCTGTGGCTCAAATGGCAAAAGATGTGAGCAAGAAGAAATGGGATTATTTGAGGAAACTGGTTAAGTTTATTAAATTTGTACTTTGCCTACAGTCGCTACTCCATTCTTCTGACCCAACAATAGTGCAAGAGAATTTCTGTATAGCCACTGTTTTTCTATTATCTGCAAATCTAAAGGATGAGTCTGAATATTAACACTCTAGAATTGATTTGACAAAAGTATATAATGGATCTGATACATGTCATTCATAAAAGTGCTTAAAAGTAGCAGAAACCAGCTATTTCTGAGTTATTTCATGGGTCTGCACATCTAGATGTTATTTGAGGAGGAGATGGGGTAGAAAGTCCAAGAACCGTCTGTATTATTTTGTATTTACTTACATGTGTACTAGTCGTTAGTACCCCCGCCCCATGTAAATTCCTTGAAAGAATTATTTCTTTATAGCCCCAGTACCTGGCACAAAGTAGGTATGTAATAGATGCTTGGTGAATCATATCTATCTATGTATCTTTTTTACCTATTGGGCCATTACTCTCTTCCTATACTCTGTAATACAGCCAAACTGGAAATAGTAGTGAGGGACTGAACAAGGACAGTGAGAATAAGAAGAGAGAAGAGGGAACAGGAATGTGTAAGATCCTTTAGATGTAGAATGGACAGGACTGGGCATCTGACTGGATAAAAGGGAAGAGCCAAAGATGATAGGAAACATGGATGACGTCCACAGGAGGTAGGAAGGACTAAGTTTTTTGGGTAAGACAATAAACCTAGGTGTGGGGATGTTGATTTTCAGGTACATGGGGGTGAAAGTGGTGTTGGCCTGGATCGAGCTGAAGATGAGAGCTTAGAAAAGAGGTCAGGGCTAGAGATTCAGATTTAGAAGTTACTGTCATAGAAGTGGGATTGAGCTTGTCCAGAGACAACAAAGAGGCCCAAGGGCTGACAGACCTTTAGGAAACATCAGAATTAGGAAGTCAGTAATAGGAGGAGCCAGAAAAGCATCGATTAGAGAGATGAAAGACCCAGATAGTATATTACCTTTAAAGCCTAAAGAGGAGAAAGTACCCAGGCAGTAGAAAGAAGTTCAAGCAAAACTAACTTGGGGGGAAAAACCCATTAAGTGACTAGGAGAGATCAGTAATAAGTAATTTAACTAGAGCAAAGATTCTTAACCTTGGGTACTTGAAGCTTTTTTGTTTTTTAATTGTGCTAACTATATTTCAATAATTGGTTTCCTTTGTAATCTTATGTTTTCCTATATTTTAGATATTATTCTGAAAAGGGGTGCATAGGTTTCATCAGAGTGCCAGAGGGGTTCATCATAGAGAAATAAACACCCACCCACACCTTCCTAAGTAGATTAATAGATGGCAGGAAACAAAGTCACTGGGTATGTATGTGTACCCACCCCCACCCCTTTTCTGTGTTGTCTTACAAATGTAACTTCCCTGAGGGCAGGGACAGGCTTAATTTTTTGCCGGTATTTGTATTCCCAGACCAAACCACAGAGTCTGGTGTTTTAAGCAACTAGGTGCTAGTTGCTTGCTTGCTTACAAGAAGTGTAACTGGACTGGATAGAAGAAAGAATGAGAACACCAAAGAGAAGGTATGACTGCTGAAGTAAGGTCACAGAGGAGTCAGGAAGAAATGAGACCAAGACTGCAGAGAGCAGGATTAAGCTCAGAAGTCTCTCTTTTTTTTTTTATAAGGGGACAAGGGGGGAAATAGTTGGTAACAATGCTCAAATTCTGAGGAATGAAGGAAGAAGCACAAAGAGCTCATATCAGATGGTCACAATCTTTCTACAAAAGTTCCAGGGCAAATCATCTGTTCTAAGTGGAAGGAAGGTGAAAAGGAGGATAAAGCTTTGCAGCAGGTGCTGTGGGATGTGAGATCGGAAATTCATAAAGGTAGATTGTAGTCAGACTGCTGAGCAGCATCTAGAGCCAAGCTGGTCATGCAAATGCCTCGGGAGTGGGTGAAGTCAACTCATGATTTTATCCATAGATGCTCAGAAGTTTCAAAGTAGGAGCAGAGAAGATGAATGGTGGGGATTATCCTGGGATTCCTGAGATGGCAACGAAAGGAGGTACTGGAGAAGTCCCTTTCAGCTCTGAATTCTTATGCACCTAAATTGGGATAGTTGTTTATGCACAATAATGGATTCTTTATTAAAATGAGACTCAGGTAAAAAATTATATAAGATTTTAAAAAATATTTTAGGGCAAAATAGATTTTAAAAATATAAGTAATTTAGATCTCAAAATAAGTTATAAGTAATACCAAAATCAGAAAAGGATTACTAATTATATTAGTCCTCTAAAAATTGATGTATGATTTTTTTCTGACAAAACACCATAAATAAGAATATACAACATCAAAGTTTTCAATAGCTGTCCTTATGAAAGGACAGAATATAAGAATAATAAGATCAAATCATTAGGAGGACTAAATGATATTTAAGACGACTTCTAACAGTTTCTCTATTCACTACAGAATTAAGTTTAGATCATAGCACAATTAAGTTTAGAAATACTGTTGAACAGTGCCTTATTTTTTCAAATTCCTTTAAGAATTAAATTCGTAATAAATGAAATTGTTTTGCTCACATACAATCAAACCTTGTTCTCAGAAATAACCTATTTATAGAATAGGAACATGAGATTGCCTCTCCCCTACCCCATCTCAATAGTTAAAATTGGGAAGTTAGCTTTAAATTCACACACAAGCACCATCTAGTGGCAAAAGATGGAAACCATGAGTAAATGGATTCATTTATGGATTCAAAATGACAAAGACTCAAAACTCAGGAGCTGCATTTAGCTCAAGTGTAAAAAATAAAATATTTCAGGATCCACAGATACAATGAAAAATAAAAAATTTGACTTCAAAGAAAATGAAGTTGAGGGAGCTATAATGACAGAAAAAATGTAAAGACTAAAAAGTAATGGTAAGTTAGGCTTAAGAAAAAAACAAAGCATTTTTGCCTTTGTGTATTAATTACAGCTTTAGAATCACAGATTGTAAGGGTTGAAGTGGCCTTGGAGATAATCTACTCCAAACCCTTCAGTTTTACAGATGAGGAAACTGAGAAAGAGTCAAAGTGACAAGGTCACATAATTAGTTTATTAGCAAATCAGTTACCTATCTTTTTCTCTTTTGGGGGGGTGGAAGGGACAAGGAGAAGGGTGAGGCCAAGTTAAAGTTAGGGATGTCTTCCTTTTAGACTAAGAGAACACCACAATCTTCCCTAAAACACTAACTTTATAACATTGGCTCAAAATCCTTCACTGGTTCTCAACTGCCCAAGATAAAATACAAATACTCCTCATCCTAAAATTCAGTCCTTCTCCACTCTATCCTTATTTCCAACTATTCCTCTGTTTCTGCTGAACTTATTGTTGATGGAAAATGTCTCTTGATTTGTCCTTTATCATTCTTAGATTCATGACATTCTTCAATCAAGAATGTCTAAAGTCACTACCCATCCGAGCCCAAACAAAACTCTATCCCTTGAAGGCTCAAATCTTACCTCCTCTTTGGACTGCACACTTACCTGAGGAGGAAATTCTCTCTCTCTCTCTCTCTCTTCTGAATTATATAACATTAACTCTATCACTCACTGGGCAATTGTAACTAACTTCCTCTTCTGACATTTCTTGACCTGATGTCTCATCTACTATTTCATATGGGAGATAACTTCTGAACTAGGCTTTAAACTCTGTCAGTGTAAAGAGGACTTATTGTATCTCCCTGTACTTCTTACAGAATCTAGCACAACGCCTTGTACAAGTTGGCTAAAAAATACCTGCTGACAGAGAACATACCTTTCAGATAAATGATAATCCTCAATAAAAAACCCATGGAATTTTGAGCCACAATGTCATGAAACCATAGCAAAATAAAAGATTGTGAATATGCCTTGAAAAGTCAGTATAATAAGATTTATAGCACTGACCTAGCCATGGGCTCTTTACATATCTTATAACTGATGATGTAATAACCTTAACCCTGGTGGCATCCTGACCCTGAATTTTTCCTTGCTTGGTACAATCCCTTCATTCTAAATTTAAACTGGGATTCAAAAATTAGACTTTCCCTCCTCACCAGACTTGATTTTAAAATTTAGCTTTATAGAGGAAAAGTGGCCAAAAAAATTAAGGTGTTCTAATCATCCAGGAGTGATAAAACTGAAAGCATTCAAACACAAAACTTATAAGAAAAAAATCCTAAGATTCAAAGGATAATTACAGCCAAAATAAGCTTTAAGCCTTATTTAAAAAAAAAAGTATGTAAAGGAAAATAATTTTGAAATTCATCCAAATAATGGTAGGATTTCTGATCTTAATCTCTAGATGTACCATGCTACCTTGCTGAACAAATGCATATTTGGCTAATGAGTTCTTTTAAAATATGCCATCTCAACTAATGTGAAAATAGGTTTAATAGGAATGTATCTGTAGAGCCAATTACATCAGATTGTACGCTGTCTTGGGAAAGGAGGAGGGGAGGAAAATTTAAAACTCAAAAGCTTATGGAAGTGAATGCTGAAAACTAAAAATAAATGTACACATGCCATATCCATAGATTTGTTCTTTATATGTCACATAATAAAACAATAACAACAAAACAGATAAGTAGCTGTATTCTATGATAAAAACATTTCTTAAATGACAGCAGTCACTAAATACACACAAAACAACATTATTTTAGACCATTTGAGTTAGAGTTCAAGATAGCGTGTATGGCTAAATAACTTTCCCAACAACCAAATCATGATAAACACATTGTTTTTACATGGTTTAAAACCTGCTATTCATGGGATTCTTTATGTGCATTATATGGAATAGCTGCTTTCAAGACATCCCAAACAGTGAAAATACAGAACTAAATGAAGTCTGGCCCATATCAGAGTACCTCAGAAGGCATCTGCTAAGGCGCTGATTCTGGGATAATTGTGATGAGTGAAAGGGAAGTTCATGCTATATTATAGACATTCTAGAACTACTTCTGGTCAGTTCATCACATGTGGAAGAGAATGCTTTTGGGCTACAGAGGCATTCAAAAGAGGCCTGCCAGATCTCAGCTACTTTTTGACTCACAGAAGTCTTGGGAGAGTTGAATGACAGTGCCTGCTAAAGGGAATGGAGCCTATGACCCTATGAGTTCAAAAGGCCCAGATGGCTCCTTAGTATCTTATCGCTGAGTTCAGATTTGAAGCCAGCAGAATTATCAGTGTCCCCCAGTCACGAAAGGAGTGGAGCCTACCTCAACTCCTGATCATTTTTGGCTCAGGTTTGAAGAATTTACGCCTCTACGGGCAAGGAATAAATTGTGGAAGGGGCCTTCAGGCCCAGCAGTGCTAGCTAAGACAGACTCTTTTAGCAGTTGTGCCGTACCTGGACCTAAACCAATGCTACATAGGAACTGAGGTAGTTTTGAGCCTATTCCACCACATCATTAGGGAGAGCAAGGGGGAGCACGCCCTGAGGGGTTGGGCTGGGAGGAGGAGCAGGGAGGGAGAGTCTGTTCTATGCCTTTTTTTAAAGGTAATGATACTAAGTGGCAAAAGGGAACTAAGCTGCTAGTCACTGGCAGTAGCCAGCTAACAAATGGGAACACTGCTAGTGGAGACTCCAGTTGATGGAAGTAGGGATAAAAGCTTCCCTGGGGTAACCTGCCCCCAAGAAAAGCCCTCTAAAGGGGAGATGCAGCAAGCCTGGTTCTGGGAGAGAGAGCCAGAGCTGCCATGTTACACAATCAATGACAGGAGGGGAAGGGGGGATAGTCTGGATGAAGTCACAGAAGACAATAGAGATCAGAAACCAGACTGGAAATCTACATTTTGGGTTAACTGGTTAAAAACCGAGATGAAATTTAACAGTGATAAATGTAAGATACTGAATTTGGATTTAACAAAACTACATCAAAGGAGACATGAATCACTCCATGTTCATGGTCACAGAGTGCGTGGAAGGAACACTGCATTCAGTACCTTCTAAGAGGGAGGGATTTGGGCAAACTAGTTGTTCACTGGAGGGTGACTTGGAGGAAGGTCTCGAAACAATGTCATTAGGAGTATTTTAAAGATCTGAGGATTGGAGCAGCTAAGTGACGAAATGGAAAGAGCTCTGGCCTTGGAACCAGGAGGCCCTGAGTTCAAATCCGGCCTTAGATACTTGACATGTACCAGCTGTGTGACCCTGGGCAAGTCATTTAACCCCAACTGCCTCACCAAAAAGCAAAAAGATCTGAGGATGTTTAGCCCAGAGAAGAAAAAGCAAATGATAACATGTTTATAATTATTTTCATATATTTAAAAGATTAACATGTGGATGAGGGAGCAGATCCAGTGTTATTTTGAAGGCAAAAGCTAGAACCAATGGGTGGAAGCACCGGCAGATAAAGAGCCCAACTCACAATATGTAATAACTTTCAGACAATTTAGAGCAGTCTAACAATGCATTAGGATGCCTTGAAAAATGAGTTCCCTGTTAATTTGTTGTTCAGTCATTTTTAAGTCTCCTTTTAGGAAAAAGAGGTAAGGGGCTTTTTAAAAAATGTTACTAAAATTCACTTTTGAAGGAGTACAAATAAATGGCCTATGTCTTTTCTCTTTCTATGTAATCTAACGTCCAATGATAGCATGATGCAAAGACAAATCTGAAAAAGGCCAGAAGAAACCAAAAATAGTCCATCTGGTCTAATAGCTACAAAAGTTTTCAATGGTTCGATTGAATGAAATGTGTGCAAGAGAAAACTTGAACTGGTGTTTGGAATGTACCACATCTTTCACTTACCTTGTCTTTTTTATCTTGTCGGGCATATGGAAAACATGGGATCACTGCAGTTACCCTGGATGATGATGCAATTTTGCAAGCATTGATCATAATGAGAAGTTCCATCAAGTTATCATTAATTTCTCCACAGCCACTCTGGATGATGTAGACATCTTCTCCTCTCACACTTTCACCAATTTCTACACTAAAAGGAAAGATCAATGTTATTTTATTAATAAAAATTTTTGAAATTAAGGATTCATCAAACGCTCACATTATTTATAAAAATTTATGAGATTAAGAACAAATGAATTCATCACATGTGGTTTCAGAATAACCAACCAAAAACTTAGATCCCTATAAATATGATCTTTCTCCTAGTCCTAGAGTTAGTATTGTTGTTTGTTTACATTCCATAAATTTACTAGGGAAGCATGGATCAGTACATATGGATCAGGCACAAGCCTGGAAGTTAGGAAGACCTGGGTTCAAAGTCTGCTTCAGACACATTGGTTATGTGACTCTGGGTAACTCACTTAACCACTCTGAATGCTAATTATTATTAAGTGCCTACTATGCATTAATACATTGTATTAAGCACTGGGGATACAGAGAAAAGCAAAAGAACTCAGTCTAATGTAAAAATGGAAAGTGGAGCCATTGGTACCCACTGAGTTGTTCACAGGAACAAATGATATAAGGCAGGTAAAGCTCTTGGTAGAACTTAAATAAAGCACTATAATAAACATTACACTGTGTAGAAAAGACCTACTTAAGCAGAATAATTAACCATTGAAACAGAGCAAAATGGCAAAAAAAAGAAAAAAAAAGAAAAGAAAAAGAAGTTCCTAATTAAGAACTGATAGAGGCATTTTCTCCAGTCATATCTTTGTAGTTGTAAGGACATGTCAATACCCAGTCAACTTAAAGCTGCCAAAATACTAAAATGCCTTAGTCAATAACTAAGAAAGTAGCAACTTAAGGCATCACCTTAGTTAAAGACTTGATAACTATAGAAATGAATAACATGGGCGCAGATACAATAATGAGGGCATACAGTAATTTGTTCTTTATCAAGCAATAATGTCCATGAAAAAAAGAAAAAAATTTACTTACAGATTCCTTTCATATACACCATCTATGCATTCACTTTTGTACCATAATGCTCCTGCGTTAACAATATAAAGAGTCAAGCTGCAGAGCCACTCCAATGACAGACAGTCCTGTTTAGTTCCAGGCAATCTTCTCGCTCTCTGTCTTTGCCTTTTCCTCTGATAATAACAATGGTATATTTGTACTGTAGCACTCTGCAGTTTATAAAGTGCTTTCACAACCATTGTGTCATGAGATCTTTGTGAAAACCTCATCAAGAAGGCAGATTGGATATTATCAGTACTTCTTGTATTTTTTTTCTGTTTTTTTTTTTTTTTTTTACAAATGAGGAAACTGAGGCTTAAAAATTAAGCAAATTGCATAGGATGCCCAGACCAATAAGTAGAACTAAAACCAGGCCATCTGACTTCTGATACAAGGTTAGCTCCCACCTAGCACTTTAATATGCTGTTGGTTGCACGCAAACTGGATGATATGGTTTCTTGTTGCTATGACAAAAAAATGAAGTACTCATGAAGAAAAGCCATTTGACAAGCATTTTATTAAGAATCTGATGTGTGCCAGGAGCTTTTCTAGACATAGGGGCTACAGATAAATTGCTTGTTCAGTGTTTCCAACTTTTCATGAGCCCATAGTCTATTTTTTCCATTGGGTTTTCTTGGCAAAAATACTTCTATTTCCTTCTCCTGTGGACCACTTCTTTTTTTTGGTGGGGAGGGAAGGATGTGTGTCAAAGACAAATAGTGGCTATTAATGTTTGTTTGATTAAATAAGAGACCAATTATAAAGAGAAAAAGAAATGCAATTAATTTAAAGTATTACAAGTTAACACCTTAATCAAACAGGTCATTCATTCATACATTCATTACTTTCCCTACTTCCCTACCTTTGACTTCATTAGTGTAGAGAATTCCTGGTGAGGAAACTCCTACCAATGCAGATAGACATGCCAGGACTGTAAAACCATACAGTTTTACAGAGTTGCCTGAGGCATGGAGATTAATTAAATTACTTGCACAGGATCACAAAGAAGGTTTATGTTTGAATCTGGACTTGAACCCAGGTCTTCCTGAGTCTGAAGCTGACTTATATTTGTGGGTTCTTCTCTAGACATAAATTAACTGTACAAAAAAGGTAACTTATTCTTTGTTTTAGGATATCATCTGTTCAAAAAGCATTTATAAAGCCTCATATGTGCAAAGCACTGTTCTAGGTGCTTAGCAAAGATAAAGAAAATTAAGAGATGGTCCCCACACATTTTCTTAAAACTTTGAACATACTCTAAGCTTTTATTTAAATTCAAATGGAAATTATTCATTTAAAAAATTATATTTACATGTATTGAGTATTTTGCAATTAGTAGTGTACTAAAGGAGAAACCTATTGGCTACCTGGTATACCATGAAGCAAAAGTACACTAGAAACAGTATGGCTGTATTTCTGCTTAATGCACCATATTTTTGCATCCAAAGAGCTAATTTAAATTCCTCTGAGAACAAGTTATCCTGTATGTTGGTCCTGGAATGAAGTAAATTTGCATTGTGGGGACATACTGGCCACATAACTACACTGAGATTTCCCAAATCAACCAATCAATCAATGTTGGAATCTTTGGCTTATTTATAACAATTCCAATATCATTGATCCAAGGAAGAAAAGATATTATCATAATAACCATCATGATTATTTCTTGATTAAAAAAACATAAATGATCAGTCACACACAGAACCTAATCTTTGATTTAGATATTAAAAAGTTATGGGCAAAAAGAGGCATACAACTTTGGGTGCTAAGGAAAGAGTGAGCTTCAGTTCCCTCATGTGTAAAAAATATGGGGGATGAACCAGTGGGGTTTTAAGATCCCTTCTCATTTTTGGGCTGCGAGCCCTTGATAATAATTCTGTGTACCAAAGTAAGATTTTACAACTGTTCGGAGTAGAAGAGCTTTATTCTTTTTTTTATTTCTCAAAAAACCTTCATGAGTTTAGCAAGATTCCAAATACTCTGTAAATCAGCTAAAAAACATTTATTAAGTGCCTACTATGTGCCAGGCACTGGTGCTAAGAGATGGGGATACAAAGATTCACAAAAGCTTTCAAGAAATTTACAATCTAATCTAAATTATATGATAGAATGTTATCTATGGCAGCCCTGCCCATGCTGACTGCTCAAACATTGTTATTACAAAGACATTAAGATATCTATAAAAGCCATTTCAATGGCCTATGACAAACTGAAAGCACAGAGTGAACTAGATTGGTTAGCTCCTTTCAGATGTGGCTAGGTGAAAAAGGAAGACACAGATATAAGAAAGCCAAGAGAGATAATATTCTGGATGGCAGAATTGGAATCCAAACCATTTTTTTTTAAATGCTGTAATGATCGGGCAAATCTGTTTATTAGGAGTAAATGTAAAGCCTTCCGAAGCCCAGAATGGGCTTGTAAGTCAATTCATTCAATTCAAGGAGTATTTATTAAGTGCCCCGGGCAGCTAGGTGGTACAGTGGATAGAGCTGGCGCCTGGAGTCAGGAAGACACACATCTTCCCCAGTTCAAATCTGACTTTAGACACTAGCTTTGTGTCACTTAATCCTATTTGCCTCAGTTTCCTCATCTGTAAAATAAGCTGCAGAAGGAAATGTCAAACCTCTTCAGTATTTTTGCCAAGAAAACCCCAAATGGGGTCACAGAAGAGTGGGACACAACTGAAAAACTGAAAATTTATTAAGTGTCTACTATGTGTAAAGCCCTTGTTGCTAGGTGCTGGAGATAAAAGAAATGAAATAGTCCCCTTCCTTAAGGAGCTTACATACAAACTGAAATGTTAAAAAATACCGGGGAATTTTAGGGGACTGTGAAAACAAATATTTGAAGGACCGTCACATGTAAGAGTCATTAGACTTGTTCTGATTTGGCTACTGAGACCAATTTCTAATCTTTTTTAATTTCCAGTTTTCAAACCTTTTGGTCTCAGGACCCTTTTACACTCTCTTCTTAAAGCGTTGTAAATACTAATAGCAGACATTTATATATGCTTAGCAAATGTTAAAATATTTTACATATATCATCTCATCTGATCCTCACAACTGAGGCAGGTGTCACAGATATTAGTTCCTCCATTTTGCACATGAGAAAATTGAGGCTCAGATAAATAATTTTGCCTCGGTCACGTGTCAGAGACAGCATTTGAATCAAGGTCTTCCAAACTTCACTCTAGCTACTTTACAAGACTGCCATAAAAACATGTTCTGAAGGAAATGGGGATGCTCAGTCACAGGGACAAGAGATAGAACAAAGGGACAGAGACTGCATGGATGATCCAAGTCACAGGAAGGCAGATTTCAAAAAAAGAATTACTAACAATTAGAGCTGTCCCCAAATGGAAATGGGCTGCCCTGAGAGCTAGTCTCCAATCAGAATTAGGTCTCCAATAAGAAGATAATCATCTGTCAGGGATACTGCAATGGGGACTTACGCTGAAGGCCAGGATTTGACTATGGAAATAAATCTAAACCAATAATTTTAGGTATGATGCCTAAGGTCCCTTTTAATTCAAAAATATTATGAACATCAATAAATCAATAAACATTGATTAAGCACCTACTTACTACTACATTTAACAGCTACTGTCCTAGGCACTAGATACAGGTGAGACAAAGTGAAAAGGAGGTTAAACCAAGGTACCTGGAAGAAGTATATTAAGATCCCTCCCATAAAACTCCTCTAAACAGATCTAGAAAACACACCAGACCGAACCCTAATCAGGGAATTAAAAAAGTGATTCTTTTTTTTTTTCCAGCTCAGGGCAGCATATAAAGACATACAGAAAAGTCTGTGGATCCTGGGGATTGGGTTTGGCCAGGAGCACAGGGCCACAAAGAGCCCAGGGACTGAAAGAGGAACAAGACCATGCACCTGGGCAAAACAAGGTTGCAGACCCAAAGAAGGGCATCTCGGACCTTGTGCAGGAGGCAGGAACAGCTGCCAGCTGGCAGCTCTGTTGCTAACCACTCAGTTCGGGGTCACAGATCCAGGGTGGGCTAAGGAGAAGACCTGTGCCCAGCGGTGGCATTGCAGGGGAAGGTCCCAGGC